CTTATTCTACTGAGCCATCTCCCCGGCCCCCCTTGTCTTTAAAAAATTAAAAATAAAATGAAATTTTAAAAACAGCTAAGAGAATAAATAGTTAAGATTGTTTCCTCAGGAAAAAACCAAACTCTTCCTAGGCCAGGGATTATATGCATAACATCGACCAGCCTAAATATGCATAAGCAAGCAAGCCAAGTGTTCCAAGGACTTCTGTTTCGCCGGGTCCAGCCTCTGCGCTCCAGCTGATGTTTCCCACCCCAGCAGGCCAGGGCTGCTCCCACCTGGCAGCTCTCTACGAACAGCTTGGTGGCAGTGGAAAGATGGCCCGAACAGAAATTTGTGACATGGAGATTGAGACCCGAGTGTGCCGTGACCTCCTGGGCACCTGGGCAACCCAATTACTTCTCAGTGCTTCTGTCTACATAAAAGAAAGAGGTGGAATAGAGGATCCTTCATCCTCCTACAAACAATAATGTGCTCTTACCTCCAAGGGAGAGTGAAACATTAGAGAAGCCACATCATTGAAACCACAAACTCTTATTCTAAGGCGATTCCAAGATGTAAGCATGGAAAATTTCCATGAGTTTTTTTTCCTACTCCTAACCAAACAAATAAACAAGAAAATAAACAAAACAGGTAATTTTTGAGTGAAGATTCTGTCCTCCCTTACACAGCAAAACATCTAAGGAAAGACGTCCTTTCCCAAATAGAGTGAATGACTTTCACTTTTTTAAACATAAGCCAGTTTTTAGGTTGTTGCTAGTGTCTCTTCTACACCGTCCTCTTCGTGACAACATCAAGGGTCAAGTGACATCACACAGAAGCAAGACACAGAAACACTTCCTGATGTACCTGTGCAAATGGCAGGCTCCCAAGGCTGTTCCTCTTCTTCAGCCGACCTGTCCCCCAGTCTCCTAGCAGGGTGGCCTCTGGGACTAGTGCCCATCGATGGAATATAAAGTACAGGTGTACCACTTATAGGCCAAGGCACACCTCTTACCCCCTGGCTTGAAAAAAAAATCTAGGGACCCTGTCTGTGGCTTGAGACAATGCCCTAAAGACTGTGGACAAAGTGTGGAAAGAGCCCCTGAATGACTACATGCAACACCCTGCTATAACTACTCACCTTATAACTGCAGTGTGATGTGAATAAGAAATGAACTTATAAAATAAGCCACCAAAGCTTAGCATGAGCATCCTTTGACACAGACAGAGCCCTTCTGTGATGTACACACACAAACCCTATCCAGCATAGTCTCACCAAAATAGATCACAAAGAAGGCTGCCACACAAATTATTTTTACTTCAGTGAGAGTGGGAGAGGTGAGATTTATTGCTCCTTTTAAAAACTAAACAGTTTCATAACCATAAAACTTAGGACAAAAATAATTATGTCTTGTCTAACATACTACTAGAAGGTTTAACTCAAGAATCATAACAGATTTTTCTTGATCATGGGACTAACATGTTTAGAGTTAGTGAAGAATGACAAGGTTTACATATCGGTATGGCCACAGTTCCTCCCTTGGGTCTCCTCTTCCTCCATATGCTTTTCTCAGAAACCAGCCATGTAGAAAAGGCTGCAAAAATCCCTCTTATTAAGGTGCAACAGACTGACAGTAAATGGATGTCCTTGCTCCAGAAAGTATTTGCCTCCTAACGGCGGGAAACAACTGTTAGCAGTCGAATTAAAAGCATCAACTGCCTAGATCCAGGAGGTATTTTGGGACTCAAAAGAGCATTTCTGATGACTCAAAAATCAAACACCATGTAAGCAGCCACCTCCTTCCCACCTCCTCATAAAGAGGCCCCTAAAATCATCTTCTAAAGCAGTTCTACTTTGAAGCAGAACTAACCACTGAGGGCAAAACTGTCTTGCTATTGTCCCTCACTCATTCAAAACAACATTTCCATCTCTGCAGGCCCCCAAAGGAATGGTCACCTGCCTCTCCTGGAACTTTCCCCTTGCCTCTCACAAAAAAATGCTGTGCCAGTCATTCATGGAAATAAATGATGGGGCTCTGTCACTTTCCTGCCTCCTCCTCACTTCAGTCCTCCTCCCTTCTCCAACCCTGCCCAGTGGCCCCTGCAATACCTGCCACCCCTACTCAGGTGCTGTGCTCCTCTAGCCAGACACTCCAGTATTTCAGAAACTGCACATTGTGGATACACAAATGCACCCCTGTGTCTGCTCACACTAGTTCTTCAGGCTACAATGCCTGGAGGTCCCATGACCACCAGCCGAGTACTGGTCATCTTTCAAGCCAGTCACCAATTCCATCCAGAAGCCTTGCCTGACTACCACACAGTCACAACCACTCACTGATTCCCCCACACGTCCACAGTGTTCTGTGTTATTACCACTACATGCTACTTTGCATGACAGTTTTCTGTACTGATGTTCTCATCTAAACCTTCCTAAAGAAAAAAAAAATTACTTCTTACTAATTTTAGGAGTCCCTGTGTTGAATTGAATACATCTCCCTCTAAAATCCATGTCCTTTTCAGAAACTCCAAAGGAATGTGAATTCTTCTGGAAATAGGGTCACTGTGGCCTACTTAGTAAAGGTAAGGTCATACTGGAGTAGTTGGCCTCATAAGAAAAGAAGAGAGGGATAGAGGAAGGGCACAATGTCATCGATACAGACAGAGTTGGAGTGCTGCATCTTCAAACCAAGGAACACCAGGGACTATTAGCAACACCAGAAGCCAAGAAGCTTCTACCCATGGCCTTGCGGACACCTTCACTCCAGACTTCATGTCTCTAAACAGTCAAGGAATAGTTCTGCTGTGCGAGCCCTCGGTTGGTAGTCACGTGCTCTGGCAGCTCCTGGAAGCTCCGAGACCCACATGAGTACAGTGCCTTTTCAGAAAAGGTCTCAGACATTTCCTAAGCTGAATTAAAGGTTTTCACTTATTAGAGAATTCTTTCTCATTTTAAGGAGGCTCAGGAACAATATAAACCGAGAACTTCTTCACTGTGCCATTTATTTCTGTGAACACAAATACTCTCTTACACAGCGGTTGCACAAGTTCTCTTTTTATTACAGTAACAGCTGGGATTCTAGCTGTTTAAAAGCATTTCAAGCTATTAATTTGGTTCCTCCTTTACTTTTCTGAAGTTCAGTAGATGAGATAAATAAAACAGAGTACTCCAAACTTTTAAAAAATTTAGTACACTAAAAACATGACAGCACCATATGGCAGAGGATCAGATTTCCCCAGAGACTTCCTGCATCAGAAAAACCACCAAACATTTTAAATAGCTCCAGACTGTTCTTTACTGCAACCTTGAAATTATAAAGAACCCAGAATATCAGGTTGGGTCAACATGGATGAAGAAACAGTGAGAATCTACTGGCAAGTTTCCACCCTAAAGGCCACCAACAGTGGCTGGCTGGTAGGTTTTGGGAAACCCAAAACCCCCACCTGCCACTAGAGGTACTAATGCAACTCCCATGAAGGTGGGCACTTACCATTAGCAGACTCATCTGTGTGCAAGCTGTAAAGTCTTTCCTAATTATCCAGCTTAAATAAACCATTTGCTTTAATTTCCCCTCACCTTGCCTTCTCATCCAATGAGGTTTACCAATTCTCTTCCCAATTCTTGTTGTTTTTCCCTGTCATAAATATAAAAGTCACAGACTGATGACAATGAGTTATTGAAAAGACTCAGCCTTTCAGGTTCAAAGGTAGTTCCACTAGGCTTCTAGTCTGTATGGAGGTATCATGGCACCAAATTCTGCTTGCTGCCTTTTTGAACATTTTTGTTTCACTCTTTTCAATCCACAGGACTCAGGACTTTCCGCACCCCTCTCCTCATTCTTCCCACTGAGTTCTCTGGAACCTACCTTCACAGAGAGAGAAATCCTAAGCGCTGGAATTTGTGTGGATTGTTCTCACTTACCTTCTTCTTCTAGGTGGAACCTGGCTTTCCCCTCCCATGCTGACTGTTCCCTTTCTTCCCACTTAACACCTGCTGTTAAGAGTAAGGAGCTCTCAAACTGGACACTTCCTTCTTCCAATCAAGTGCTATATGGCACGCAAAAACACTCTCCCCTCCTGTAAGATCCAAGCCACCCACATTGAGGACAGCAATGTGTAATACTGAAACCATGCTTGAAATATCTGTCATTTTGGTCTTCTAAATATGTACTGTTTCTAGTCTTATCAGTTAGGTCCATACTCTCTTTAAAGTATTTTTTAAAAGGTAATAAAAGAAAATGAGGGGCCGGGGAGATG